AACCTGCACATCGACTACGTGTGAAACATTTTCCCGTGGGGAAGTGCGAAAAAGAGACCTAGAAATTATTGGCGGGCCAAAAGTCGGATTTTTCCCGGAAAGGGAAATTCTCCATGACATCTTTAAGCACTAATTCGGTTTTTTGTATAGTACTTTTGTTCCATTACTTTTTTAAACTGATATTGTCACGTATGAACACACACATTTTTATAAAGGGGAAGATTGTTACAGTCAGGTATCTCGATACATATATCACACAGATCACATATCATGTTTCGGTTTTTTCTCTGTATTATCATCATCTCACTGCATGATTAGTAAATATCTATATTCGTTTTTCTTTTTCTTTGTTCTTACTTTTCGTCGTCAATTGTAAACTGTTGTGTGTCCCGAACATAATGAATCATTTCCCACAGATAAGATTTTGATGTTTGAGTATTAATATAGTGAATGATGTATGATGTTGATGGTAATTTAAATTGGACTAACTCTGTAGATAATTTGTAATTTTTCCATGCTTTTTCTGTTGCTTTATCCCAATTTTTTTCTTCCTTGCTGTTTAACCCTTCAGGTTTATCTTCTGGTAAGCGTAGAAAACGATCTCGGTAATGTCGGTCATGATGTAATGAATCATAATCCGATGACGAATGATAATGCCGACAAGACATGTTTCCCGATGGTCAATGAATGATTGTTGTGACGGTACGATAATTATGATAATGTAATGAATTTCACCTTGTCTAACTAGAATTTTATCTGAAATAAGCAACCAAATAGATTACAAAGTCGACAGGAAAAAGACAAAATTCTTTTGTCTTAGTCGTCTTCTGGTAAAAGATACGGTCATCGTAAGGATGTCCATCTCAGGATGGTGTTCTGAGTTGTCAAGGTTTTGTACTGAGGATGATGATCAATGGTCGTGTCTTATCAAAACTGTTGTCTCCGCAGTCCGCTCAGTGATATCCAGTTGAAGTAGCTAATTTGAATAAAATATCAATGATTCTAGGCAATATTAACGTCCTTGATGTAATTCTATAGCATTAAATCAAATCATTAACATTGACTATGTTTAAAATTATTAAAACGACACGAGCTAATCAGTTATAATAATAAAATAAAAGTAATTCCAAATGAATTTTTATGTGGATAACAATAAAATGATTCCATTTATTCACATTATCGTGAATGCATTTTTTCAGTTTGACAGAACGTTGATCATCTTTAGTTTTAGATGTCAATCTTGGACGTTCAAATAATGGTACGATGACATCGCTAATAACTTGTCGTTTTATATCCAGGTTTTTAACATGCTGAACGACATACGTTTTTTGTGCCAATTTTTCAATGATTCGAAACGGCCCTTCATTCCTGATGTCAAATTTATTTCGAGCATTAATTTTCTTTATAAGAACTAAGTCGCCGATCCGATATTGTGGATCGGATCGATTTCTATCATAACGGTTTTTTGATTTTTGCTGTTGTTCCAGGATATTCTTTTGTGCTTCCTTGACCATACTAGTTAGATAACTGCTCAATTTATTCAGATGATCCGGATCTTGTTGGATTGATACTAGCGGATGTTGATGATCGAATGGTAATTTCGGTTCTCGCCCATATATCATCTGAAATGGTTTTATTTTTGTCGTTGAATGAATGGATGTATTGTAATTAAAAATAACAAATGGGAGCTGTTCATTCCGTACGCTTGTCGTTACATAATGAAGCTATTTTAGCATCCATGGTGGCATTAAAGCGTTCAATACATGAATTGGTCTGTGGGTGGTAAGGTGTTGAATAAAGGTGAATGATACCGAACTGTGTAAACAATTCATTCATCATAGATGCAGTAAAATGAGTACCATTATTGGACAGAATTGCTTTTGGGGTACCATATTTCAATATCACTTCATCACGGAGGAATCTCGCAGCTGTTGCAGCTGTACAATCACGTACAGGTTTACCAATAACAAATTATCGGTGATGGTAATAATATATTTATTTTGATTTTTTGATACCGGCATGATAGGACCATGGAAATCCATACTCAATAATTCAAATACACCCTTTGGTGGTGGAATAGATTTTAGATGTCCATCTGGTTTTCTTCGACAGTGATTATTTTGACGGCATTTGAAACATGACCGTACATATTTTCGTATGTCTCTGTGCATCCCCGACCAAAAATAACGTTCACGTATTGTCTTTAATGTACGATCACGGCCGACATGTGAGCCATTGGCACGAGTGTCATGATATATCTGCATGATACTTTTTCGTATTTTACGCTTAGGAATGACTGGTATCGGTTCTGGATGTTGTTTCCACATTAATGAACCATCTTCAATGATGTAATTCTTATATTTTTTGTTTTTTATGTTATAGATTATTTCTTGTGTATTTGTATCTGACTGCTGTTGTTGTCTAATATCATTACGTTCGAATGGATGAATGAGATGCTCATCATTATTGACAAATGTTTCTTGCTTATCTTGATCCGTACGAGGTTTGTCCATTAGATAAACATCCTCTTTCTTTGAATTCGTTACAAGGTTGTCCGAAGTTCGAACATCCTCGTCATCTTTCTCGTTTTTCAACTTTTGTTTCGCTTGCTGACGGGTACTGACTGCGGTAACAATTGGTTTTTTATGTACCATCCTTAAATCATTATTTTCGGTCTGAGTCGATATTGATACTCGGTGTACATAATCATCGGGATCATCGTCTGGATCATCAACAGGTGAACGGGATAAATAGTCTGGCATAGTATTACCACGTCCATCAATATGTGTAATTGTCATAGGATATTGTTGAAATTTCAATCGCCATCGTTCACATTTATCATTGGCTTGTGCTTTTTTGTTCAGAAATTTCAATGGTTTATGATCGGTTTGTACTTCAAAATCCACACCGTCTATATACTGATGCCATTTTTCGATCGCTGAAATAATTGCATAACATTCTTGTTCTGATGTACACCATCGTTGCTGCGTGGGTGATAGCTTTTTTGATAAAAACGCCACTGGACGATTACCTTCTGGATAGACTGTAATAACACGGCACCAATACCGACTTTTGATGCATCTATCTGAATTTTGTATTGAAACTGATTGTTTGGTAATCGAAGGACAAGGTCCGATGTTAAAATGTGTTTTAATTCATGAAAGGCGGCTAATTCTTTTTCCGATAGTGTAATCGAGGTTTGTTTTGGCCTTCCCTGTTTTTTCTTTGGTACATATTTGTACAATGGGTCAGCAATACTAGAAAAACCACGGATAAATTTACGATAATATTCGGCGCCCTTCAGAAATCTACACGCCTCTTCCTCTGTCGCGGTATTTGTGTTTCCATCAATGCTCGAATATTCTCCGGATTGGTTTTAATGTTTCCTTCCTTCACTTGATGACCCAAAAATCCAATTTCCTTCTTTGCGATTTCCGATTTTCCCACATTTAAACGGAAATTCTGTTGATCCAACGAATCCAACACATGTTCTAAATGTACCAAATGATCATCAAAGGTTTTAGAATAAATGATTATGTCATCTATGTATGCTAAAGCATACTTCCAACGGGCAGGACCAAGAGCTTGATTGACGATACGTTGAAATGACGGTGGACCGTTAGTGAAACCTTGAGGGAGTACTGTAAATTGATAATGGTTATCCCGAGTGCTGGCTGAATGCAGTTTTTGGGTGATCGTTTGGATGCAACGGAATCTGAAAGTATCCAGATTTAAAATCAATCTTGGTAAAATATGCAGATTCGGCTAACTGATCAAAAATTTCATCCATTTTAGGTACGGAAAAGAGTCTTTTGTCGTAACTTCATTTATACGACGATAATCAACGCAAAAACGTGTCGAACCATCTTTTTTCTTTACCAATACGACTGGACTGGACCACGGGGATGTCGATGGTTCGATAATACCTTGTTTCAATAATTTATCCGTTTCATCTTGTATATGTTGTTGATCTTTTCCCGATTGCCTATACGGTGGTATATGAATAGGAGGATGATTACCCGTGTTTATGGCACCTTCCAAAGTGTAATTTATCACTGATGGTTGTGTGTCAAATAAGCGCCCGTATTTCCATAGAATACCTTGTAATTGTTCACGTTGATCCTCGTTTTCGATATGCTTTGTCATTGTATCAATATGTTCACGAATTTGTGTTGGATAACATTGTTGACGCAGATGTGCATGTAAATCATTTCTAGATAGAAAATTTTTCTCACATACATAACACTGATGAATTGGGATTTTCGATTGGGATTCACAGGATTTGTCCGTGCGAAAACGAACATTCCCTTTTATTGGTTTACATGCAATTGTATGACAAATTATTGGTTCAGTCTGAAATGCTATTGTACCCAATTCTGTATGTTTCGATAAAGTAAATTGACGATTATTTGCATTGATGATTAATACTTTTGTTGCATGATTTTTTACATTCAGTAATGCACTGGCGGTGAATAGACCTTTCCGATGAAGGTTTGTTGTCGGTTCAAACGCGAGATTATTCGTAGTATTAATTTGTGTTGTTGCCTCGATAACTTTTTCTGAAAATGGTGGTATGGTGATCTGATCTGTTAAATATACAGGATAATGGATATCAGGTTGTTCAATAAATGGTGTTCTAACTGATTGATTATTTTTCCTCGGCATTATCACGTGTTTTTCTCCGTTGTCAATTACAATCTTATATTTCGTCATCCAATCTTTTCCGAGTAATATTTCCACGACTAGGTTCGATGCAACATCGGCTGTGATAAATGTTTTTTCACCATTTATTCTAATCTCCAGTTCGACTTGTCCGATTATATTAATAGACGATGAACTGGCGGATGAATACGAAGTATGTTTATAAATGAATTTTTTATGGTAAATTCGTTTCAGGAGATTTTTATGAATTATAGTGAATGGACTACCAGTGTCGACGATTGCATACTGTGACTTATTATTCACTTGAATTCGGATGACTACGGGGCTTGTCGACGTTGGCGATGCTAATGTCGGTGATATTGATGGCTGTTGTTTACTGGGAGTACCGCCATCTAATACCCCAGTTATTCGAAAACCTGTGGACAAGCCTGAATATAATGATCAGGTTTTCCACATTTAAAACACCCTGATTCATGTTTGTAGAAACGATTTATCATACGATGATTTGTGCGATTACAAATTTTACATGCATGATGTTGTGGTCCTCTTTGAAATCGGTATTGATTGGATTCTTGGAGTTGTGTGTTCCGATCTGCCCTCAGTCTTTGTGTTGGTTGTTGTGTCGTAGGTCTTTCTGTTCTTATCTGTGGTGATAATAATGACGGTTGTTCTTGTGATCGTATATTTGTTGTTAACCGTGGTACGTTTTGCTGTGATTGTGGATGTTCGTTTCTTACTATATCTCTTGTGCGAATGAACGGTGAACGTGATAATTGCCGAATGTTTTGATTCGAATACTCTCGTGATCCGTATGGTCGAAATGAAAATGGTCTCAGTGGTTGTGTTTGAAACGATGGTCGTGTAACTGTGGATATGGTAGTCCATGAAAAGTACGCATGTATCGATTCAGATGGTGCTTGTTCTTCCAATAATAATTCAGCCTCAGCTTTTGCTATTTGCAAAAATATTCGTGGTGTTTGTTCGTCCGATGCTCTCATTTGTCGTTTCATTTGTATTTTCAATTCATCTTTTAAACCATTTTCCAAAAATGAAATTTTCATTTTGTCTGACATTGAGGGATCATATTCACGACATTGTTTGATAATATTGTCATAATAAGCAATGATTGATTCATCCGGCCTTGTTTTCGTTTAGTCAACTTATCGAATAATTGTGATGCCGAAACCACCGGTTTGAAACGGTCCAACATTTGTGGTTTTAATTCTTTCCAATTTGTCAATATTGCTTTATTAGTTGTATACCAATCAGCTGCTTCGCCCACTAATTTGGCTTTTGTCATTGAATACAGTACATGCTGTTCTGCATCAATAAGCGTACCAACTCGCTCAATTTGTGCTATGAATTGTTCCACCTTCGTTGACTCACTTCCATCGAATGTCCCTATTTATTACCCAATCCATCTCTATAACATTCCATCAAAAAGGGATCCGGTTTATTCGACATCGCGCTGGTTCCTTGTAACCGTGTTTTCCTTTGTGCGTTTGATATCGACCTGTATTTAATAGTGCAGAATCCTTGTATCTTCTTGTATGATGTATTGGTGCTGTCGTTGGGGACGATATAACTACGGTTAAGGGAAAAAATCCAACCTATCTTGAATCTTTCCTATTATGAATCTTTTCAAATTTCTTCTTTCACCCGAAACACAGAGTAAATCCTTTCAGATCTCTCCCATTTAATATTGTAATAAATAAAAGACAATGACGCTTACTTAGTTACAAATTTAAAACTTACTTACCTGCTTATTATCGCTTGTGTTTTCTCCTTTTTTGGGCTGGCTCGGCTTCTTTACAAATCAATAAAGAAGTGGTCACGGCACCAATGTAAGAGCCCAACCCTCTTCACTCTCAATAAATACTTGTGTCAACCCACTTTATTACTTAAACAAATCTGTATATATAGGATACAAGAACAAAGAAAAAGAAAAAGAATGAATTCTTATATAAAAT